GGGGCTGCCGGGCCATTTCAGGCGGCTCGGGCACGTGTGTCTCCGGGGCCCCGCGCGCTGGCGGAGCCGGGCGTGGGAGGCCGAGGCTGCCCGGCCTGCCCGCTCCGCCCGGCCTGCCCGCGCCGGCCGCCTCCTTTCCAGCACCGCGGCTTCATCCGTGTCCGGGGCGCTTTGGAGTGATCCCTCTCCCTGTTTGCCTCTCTTTTTCTCCTTCCTCTTCTCCACCTCTCCCCCCAGCCCGGTTGACCGAACCCTTCATGCCCGGCCAGAGGAGGAGCCCCACGTGTTCTGTGTCGCGGCAGGGCGGGATCTTATCGTGATAACGGGATCTGCATTTCTCTCACATGTGGCTATTGTGAATTGCGCATTTCTTACAGCTTTTGTAATTAATTGGTCAGGCACAGAGTGGATGATGAATTACTGTGTGGAATGTGCTACTAACTACTGGAGAAGACAATATATAAAAGTTTGGCCAACGTTCCTTTTCTTCCTTTGTGAAAACAGATGTGACTTAATGTCTGTCTTGCTTTTTTGGGTACATACTGGAACACTGGGGACATTAGAATTAATGATAGCTGGTGTGATACTGATATAACCAGAATATCTTTTGCAATATTTCTTATCTCAATCTCTTTTGCCCCTTTTTTCTTTTATTTTGTCCTGTTTTTCACTGTTTAGTACAAATAGACTGCTTCACATCAGTTGCTTTATGCATGTGTGATGTGTACCTGCTCTGTAAAGTACATTCTGAATAGTCTCCTAGAATGGTCTCTTTCAGCTGGAAGGTGAAAGTAAGATTGAAGTGTCTTCCATGTACAGGCTGTTTTTCCTCTTTCTGTTATTCAAACAACAGAAAACCCCAAATCAGTTCCCTTGACCTGACATAGCTGTTTGTGGCCTCATTAAACTTGCAGATGAGTCTCCCTTCAGGCTTCTCCACTGAATGCTTCTTAGCACTGCATATGTATGAAGTGTTAGTGATGTTTTTCATTTACTTACTGGTTGCATACTAAAAACAATTCTTAAGCTTAATGGATATTCTGACAGATGCCTAAATAACTAAATAGTAAGTAGTATTTTGGCCATTTGCCCATAGCATAAAGTTAAAGTCTTAAAGCAAAAAATCTGATTTATTTTGCCAAGGTTGCAACTGCACTTCGAAAATTGTTGTGTGTTTTTTTTTTCTTTTTTCCCATTAATGATGGGCCATTAGCCACTAAAAAATAGTAGCACTTGAGTAGTATAAAACACATTATGTAAGAAAAATAGTTGAAAAAATTATTTTTCCATAACCAAGAGCTGTTGTGCCAAGCCTCTACACAATTAGTAAGAGTAGTAAGGTCAAAAAATCTAGCACTTCAAGAGCACTTCTTTTTTTACTGTAACTGTATCTTAACTTGAAAGTTGTTTTTTTCAGCTGTAATAATTTCTTATTGTTACAGGGTAATTCAGCTACTAAGATCTAATTGCTGAATAGTCAAAAATGTTTTCATTTTAAACACCAATACAAGTGCTCCACAATTTAAGTACATAGCAAGTTTTGTGGTTTTTTTCTTTTTTCTCTGCAGGAACCACACGAGGAGCACGATACTTCCACTGAAAATGCAGACGATTCTAACCATGATCCTCAGTTTGAGCCCATAGTTTCCCTTCCTGAGCAGGAAATAAAAACTCTGGAAGAGGATGAGGAAGAACTCTTTAAGATGTAAGTACAGTATTTCTGTATCTTATGTAAATGTTTATTAGGCTTAAACTTGAATGTTTTAATAAAAAGCTAGATAGCTTGTTAGGGATCTCTGTGTATGAAGTGGTAATCTAAGTTGGTTGGTATTCAGTGTGGTGGCAGAGATTGAGGGAGGAGATGATTGATGATATTGCCCCAAGATATTGAAGTCTAGAACAACAGAAAGGAGCTGATAACATGAATCTAATTTTAATATTGTTTAGCCTAAAAGAAAGCATTAACTTGGATAATAATTAAAGGTTTAACACTGTGCAGTCATGGTATCAAACAAGTATATTGGGGAAGAAAATGAGGTGTTGCAGCTGTGCATCTCCAGTTGTAAAGGACCTTGTGTGATCTACTGAAGCAATAGAAGCAGTACATTATCGGGGCATTTCTGGCAGACTCTGTTGTCTTAAATGTAGTTTTATCCTTAGATTTGGCTTATTGTCAAATGAGGATAGCTTGCTGAAGATGTATGACTTGCCTGAAGAAACGTGTAGCCTAAAGGCTTCAGACGTGTTTTGAATTTGATCCAAAATGTTTGCTTTAAATAGGTTTTTAAAATGCTGCTTTTACTTAGTTTACTTCATCTAGAAGAGAGATTTGAGCTCCCCTTATGCAGATTCTGATAGAAACTGAAGTGATGGTCGGTTTCTGCCAAGTAGGAGGGCGAGATCTCTGAGCCTGCTCTGCACACATGATGTGCAGTATTGGATGGAAATAAACTTTTTTATTTAAAAAGATGGGGTGTGGGAAATAATGTCAGTTCAATGCTCTGTACGAAGTCTGCAAAGGGGTGAAAGAGGAAGGCTATCTTTTTTTGAATGCTGGTTGTTCTGATAGCTAAACTTAGGGGATTCACCTACTGAATGCCAGCTGGATTTGCTTTGGACTAATGTAATTAATCTGCATCAGAGTATCTGTTAGAGTAGCTTGCTCCAGTATCTAATATCTTGTCTCGAAGGATGTGACTTGTTACAAGTTCCCATCCCTTGCTCTTTTCTATAAAAAGTATATTTTTATATATATCCTGTAGTGTGAGCAGCTGCTTTCTTTCCTGTAGCAGTGTCTTAAACTCCTCACTAGCAGAGCTCAGACTGTCTCTGGGTCAATTTTGACTAATGTCCCAAACTACTGTTTCTCTTTTGGCACACTGGCATCTTGGAAGATTAAGCAGTGATGTTCTGAAGCAGGTATGTTGCACTGCAGTGCAGCACTAAGCTTCCTTTATTCCTCATTTAAGAATAGCAACAACTGCATTTTTTGGAGCTAAAAGGGAATGAGTGACTCTGCAGGGTGAAGCACTTTGTTAACAGTTGATCAGACAGTGGGCTTAGAACTATACAAGAGTGAAGCTTCAAGCTGCTCAAATTCTTGAATTAGTAGATGCTAGTTAGATGGAGCAGTTGTATTTGTAATATCTATAAAGAACTCTAGCTATAGCCAAACCTTTTGATGAGATACTTAATTTAAAAGTTTGCCTGCACCAAATATGTTTATCATCCCCCAAAATTGTCCAGGACCTGATGAATATAGAACCTATTGCATAATTCCTAGTAGGTTGTTGTTACATTTGTATTTATCCTCTGTTTCTAAAGTTGTATGCTGAAGTAGAATGGAGAACTTTATGAGGAGAATTTTTTTCTTTCTTGTGTGAGCCTTTTAAAAAAAACAGCTGTACTGTTCAGCTGAGTGTGCTGTTTCAGTAAATGTTTCTACGTCCAAGCTAACTTATCACATTCTCTGTTCTTCAAGGCGAGCAAAGCTATTCCGATTTGCATCTGAGAATGACCTTCCAGAATGGAAAGAACGAGGAACTGGTGATGTGAAACTCCTGAAGCACAAGGAGAAGGGAACAATTCGCCTCCTTATGAGGAGGGACAAAACCCTAAAAATCTGTGCAAACCATTATAGTATGTTATACATGGTTATATCACTTTTGTTTTAAAAAATAAGCTTGTAGAATTGTTCATTGCAGATTACAAGCTCAGTGGCTTTTTACTAGCAGCTAGAGAACTGCTGTATGTATGGCTTTAACCAGGTGTCAAATTTATATTAGAGTACAAATATAGCTGCCTCTTCCTCTGCACACAAGGATATAAGCATCAAAAACAATGAGTGCATATTTTTACTTATTTAAAGAAGCTGTAGTTGGGTTTGGAGTTTGCTTGCAAAGCTGAGTCTTGGAGTTTGTGGGGTTTTTTGGACTCTTACAGTGTTCTAAAGACACTTAAATAGAAAAACCAGCCCAGACACACATTGGGTGCAGTGACATAATGTCTGTCTATCCCAGCTAAATTTTAATGATTAATAGAGTGCAGAAAATGCAGGCCTCAATGGTGTTTAGCGTAAGAAATTGATGCATGCTAGCTTGTTTTCGTAAAAGAAGGAGAAATAAGCAATTGTGTAATAATTTGTCACTTTGAGCTAAATGTCTGAATTGGTAGAAGCAACTGCTTAACAGATACTGAGGTGCTAAGCTGTGGCTGCTTTTCTCTGCTTGTGAAACAAACTGAAGTGAACAATTATATTCAGCTAACTCATTCCAAAAGAATGTGTATTGAGAGCTGATGGAGCAGGAGAGGTTTGTTCCTTTGACACTGAATAAAAATAAACATGAAAGGGTGGGAGAGACTTTAAAGTCAATGTAACTAGCAACAAGTAGACTAATCTGGTAATGCTTTGTTGCTTGCTTTGATAGTAGTACTCAGGTTATTATATGAATAGTTTATAGTATTCTGTGGATTTAAACTACATTTCCATAACTTGAAATAACATGTTTGAAAGAGCTTAATAAAATTCTGCAGTCAGAAGCAGTAATGCTTGTTTTCTTTGGGTAGATCTCTTCTGAAAGACTATTCAGAGGGCACAGGTGTTTCTTTTTAGTAAATGAAATTGCAAATATTAAAACATTGTAGTCACCAACTGATAAGAATAAATATTTAGGAAAATAAACGTTGCACATATGCAAACAGAGTTGTTGAATTTGTAGCACTCATGTCAGAAGTTTTTTTTCCTAGAAAAACTTCTTTTAGTATAGATTCCTTTATTGAGTTTATGCTGATTTGCAGACAGACAAAAGGACTTTTCATTTTTGTAGAACATTAAATGTAACAAACCATAGGGAATCTAGCAATTATCTTGCATCATTTTATTTGAGGATGCAAGGAAAAATACATGTGGACGCTGTTGTCTTCTATTTATTCAGAAGTAATTGTGTGTAGAGTACTTTACATAACCATTGCAGTCACTTGACAGTAAGATTTATGGAGGCTGGTGTGGAAAACGTTTACTATTGTGCTGTCTCCATCTTTTACTCCTTTCTTTTCAGTCACACCCTTAATGGAGCTGAGGCCCAATGCTGGAAGCGACAGGGCATGGGTCTGGAACACACATGCTGACTTTGCAGATGAAAGCCCCAAGCCTGAACTGCTGGCAATCCGATTTTTAAATGCAGAAAGTGAGTGGACTGGCACAGAAGTGTTGTTGTTGATTATGTGCTGTTTTGGTACAGGCCATGTCTAAACACTGCTGTAGATACACTATATCTTTCTCACTGCATGGTGCTGTGCTAACTAATTACTGCTTTAACTGAGATAAGTCAGTTAATCACTTAACTATATGTGTTGACAGTCTGTAATAATTATCTCTCCAGTAATATTTATAAACCTTTCTGCTCTGGGCACTTTTTAATTTCAGTCATTTAATGCAAGTGTAATGCTAATTAGAATGAAACTAAAAGCAGTAATACTGTGGGGTAGATATGTATATATGCAGCTTGTTTTTATTTATCTCAGGTACTCAGTTGTTTTCAAGATTACACTTCTTAGCTTGAACCAAGGACCATTTCTGGTCCACATGCAGAATAGCTGAGAATTACTTTTTTTCATGAATTATGTAGTACCTTCTTTGTTCTGATTAAATAGAACCCTCAATGAGAGGTGCTAGTCAAACCCAACTATGATACCAGTTGGTGGATTTTTTTCTGGACTGGCAACATTGACTATGAGAACAGAAAGCAGGTTTGTAATTACATATGAATCAGCTAGTAAGGCTGAAAGACAGTGGAGTTTTCTGAGCTACTTTGCCTCAGAGAAGTGAGGTTTTCTTGAAAGAAGCAAAATAAGAGGAAAAATGCTGTCCTGTTTCCTGCTTTACCATTTGCCACACAAATTTAGTGTGGTAGCCACCTCTTCTCCCTGCATGCTAGATGGCTAATAAAGCAGATGCATCTCTTAAAACTAAATGGATTTGCGTACATCTGGGAAGAACTGAACATCTCTTGCTTCCTTTTCCTCAAGTCTCTTAACATCATATTGTTTAGCCACATAAATCTTTTTGATCTACCTCCTCAGTGCTTGCTTTTTTCTTAATCAAGTAGGAAATTAAAGGGCTTTGGTGATTATTTGCTTGTCTTTGAAAAGGCTTTTTCCTCTTTCTGCTAGGGATTGTTCAGCTTATTGAGGATTTTTTCGTGATGGAGTAGTCCTCTTTGCCTGTTTACCCTTTACAGTACTGACTAAGCAGATGACTGGTGAACAGACATAACTGTGCCCTTCAACTGTCTGTCCTTTTTGAGATGTTTGAAGAGGAATCAATACAGACACTTACTGGAGTAGTTTCATAGTGGCTTCTGAATTCCTGTGGGTCAACAGTGACTTCATAATGTCAGTCAGGCCAAGTTGGCGTACCAAATTACCTTCTTCATAGTTCTGGTGTTACAAGGTCCTTTGCTCAATTTTATGTCTTGGTGCTTGTGGCAAAACTTTGTAACTTGATCAGCTGTGATGATTAAATCAAGTGGTGGTTTAGACCAAAAGGTAGTGAAGTTTGTGCTTCCTTAGCTGTTGTAGTCAGGAGCAGCTTTGAGTCCAGGCCTTTGCATACTGAATCTAAATGCTGTACAAATGAAAGAGGCTTTATCTTCCATTCTTGATGCTAAGAACTTTAACTTACGGTGAGGATGTGGAGATCTTTTAGGGTACAGGGTAGCTGACTGGGATAGTAATTAAATTAAAAGGCTTTTGCGCAGACAGTTGTTGTTAGCAGTCTCTGATACCGTGCTTATTCCTGTGCTAGGGACAACTGGGAGTTGCAGTAACTACTAAACAGCTCCTTCTGGAATTTTATGTTAAATATTTTTCAAAATAAGCTGTTTCAATAGACTTGCTTAAGAAAATAAACTTCTTCACAAATATGCGATTCAAGCATTTTGCATAGCAACTTGTATGATTTCAAACTAGATTACTTCATAAGTGCTCCAGGTTTTGTTTAAACTTCTCAGGTTTCTTTCCTTGAGATTGGAGGTATCCTGTGTTGCAAGGAGGTAAAACTAATGAGAAAATATTCTATCTTTACTGAAACAGATGCACAGAAATTTAAGGCAAAATTTGAAGAATGCAGGAGTGAAGTAGACAAGAGGGCAAAGAAAGGTAAGGTTAAAAGTCTGTGGTACCATGCCACTTACTCCAGCTGTGTGAGTGGTTGTAGCCCCTGGGGTATCCTTGTGTTCTAGCAGGCTCACTCTGTACTGAACTGCAGCCTTCAGTTCAGGTGCTTTTTCCGTCTGCGAGAGTAATAGTTCACAGGAGTGACAACTGTCTTCTTCCTTGTAGAAGGCAGTTACAAGTGCTGTTGGGACATTCCCTTTTGGTAAGGCTACTGAGGAGGCATTTCTGCTTTATACTTTGCAAATGAACTGCGCACACTGCAACTACAGTCATACTTGCTCCTTTCAGTTCCCCATCCCACGTTACAGAAATATGTAACTATGCAAGTAGACTACTTAAGTTTTATAGTTATTAACGTGTATGAAGTTGCAGCATTTCTTCAGAGGTCTAATAGTTTAATGCACCACCTCGTAGAATTGCCTGTGTGACAAGATACTTCACCATGGAAAATAAACACTTCAGGATATTTAGATCAGAATTTTTCAGTCTTAAAAACTTCCTATTTCTTTCTTTCAAACTGGGGAGCTTTTGATTTTGGTTTTTATGGGGTTTTTTGTTAAATTAGACAAGAAGCTGGGGATTTTTCATTAACTGGACTGGATTCTGTATGGAGTCTAGTTACTGGTAGCAGCAAAGCTGGCCAAATGTTACATGTTTCTCAGTCACTGTGATTAGGCCTTCATTGACATATGCAAGTGGAATTTCTTGAATTCTGACATCTGAGATAATTACCAAAGGAAAAGAAATTGTATTAATCAGTAGTGCTCAGCACAGGATTTCTTTACTTTTGTTCTTATTCTAAATACCTCCTGCCTCTCCCTGCTCTGCTTGCCCTCCACTTCTTGGTGTTTTCCTTGTAACAGGAAAATCTATTACTGCCTGTATGTAACTTTTTTCCTACTCGATCTCTTAGCAGGCACAGACAAAAATGATAGTGCTGATAAAGTTGCTGAAAAACTAGAAGAGCTTTCTGTAAAGGAAGAAAGCAAAGAATCTGAGAAGAAAGAGACCAAGGAAACAACTGAAGAAAAGCAATAAATCATCCTGAGCCTTGCAGTTTTTCCTTTTTTGTTTTTCCTTTTTTGTTGTTTTTTTTTTTTTAGGGTTTAGGGGTTTTTCATTTTTTGGTGTTTGTTTTTGGGGTTTTTTGTTTGTTTAATTTTTACAAGGGACTTTATAAGAAACTGAATTCAATGTTCAGGTTGTTTTTTCTAAGCTTTTGCCCTTTTGACGATGTCTTCAGAAAATCCATTCCCCAGTCATGAAAACGTACTGTTCTAACTTTCTTTTCCATAGTGGAAACACTTATTTATAGTCATCCAAAAGAGTGAATAAAACTTGAAAACAGTATCAGAGGACAGAACTGAGTTTTCTGTATACTTCAAAGGCTTGTGAACACACTTGTTCCATCTGGTGTTGATATACATATCATCATACCTGTGGATTAACTAGATTAACAGACTTAGCCAACAAGGAAGTTAAGATTACATACATGTTTCTGAGATGGCTTCTAAAACTAATATGAATTATCTTTCACACTTTTCTGCTGTGTGTTCCTGAGCAGGGAATGTGCCTCCTGAGTCTAGAAATGCAGCAGACCTCTGGAATCAGGGGCCAGAGTGTTCCTAATGGTTCCTAATGTTAATGGTGTTCCTTCAGACAGTGAGAATAAAGGTGGGAAAGAAAACATTATGTGAGACTTGAGGAATATTTTACTCTGCATCCCCATTCTCCCCCCATATTTGTTAATGCTACAAATGCTTAAGTCTAGTACAAAGTTGTTGCTGTGGTTCCAGATCTTCCATGATGTTCTGCTTGCTGACTGAAGGTAGTAGCAGTCTCATACTAAGGTGTATGCAAGGAATCTTAACATTTTAACACCTTACTATGAGAGTCTGTGTCAGCATATTGTAAAAGTTGTGCTCTAAAATGTATAAGCTTTTTTTTCAGGCCTTTGGAGCTTGCTACAAACTTGTTTCTACAAGTTTCAAGGGTTCTAAACTTTATAGATGGATGGTGGGAGGCTGTCCCTCTTGGAGAGAGGTGGTCTGACATTCACTTTGAAACAGTTAATTATGTTGTACGGGCTTGAGGAGCACTCTCCTTGCCAGAATAGGCAAATTGATCAAGTCTCTTCCCTGCAAATGTTCTCTGTTTATCCAGTGTTAAGTTAGTGCTAAAGAGTAGGAGAATAAACTATAGCAAGCAATAAAATCAATACACTTTTTAAGTCTGATAGGTGAATGTTGATGCTAACTGTTAATACAAGGTTAGTATTAGCATAGTGATTGAATTCTGTAATACTGTTTCCAAAATAATTATGAAAACTGGACAAAACATGCTAAACTAAGGCTCTTTTATGTAAACATTGGACAGCAAGACCTTTTTGTCTTCATAAAGTGGCTTTCCAAGCAGGTAAGGCTTTGTGGTCTACCTGAGGAAAATGTGTTTTTAAAAAAATCTTTTTAAAAAATCTAATTAACACTGCCTTTTGATGCTACAGTGATCTAGTCTTAAGTCTGGAACTGTAGTTAAGGTACTCCCTTCATTCAAACTAAGGAATTCCTTTGGTGTTGCACATGTTTCCCTTTGAGTACAGCAGGTATCAAAAGTCTGTTAACAAACAGAGATGGTTGAAAGGCAAAATAAAGTCCTCTTTAGTGTTTCTGGTTTGGAAATAAGACAAAGCTATTCTGAAGTACTTAATATTTGAATGTAAAAGCCAAATCTTTATCCATGAGTCACTGTAAATTCTCTGATCTGATAATGTCAAACTGTCTAAATTGATAGAAATGAGATTTAAAATTTTCAAAATAAATTTTACATTTTCATTTAAAGGATTTGCTTGTTATTTAAAGAACTCTTTCTGGGAATGTATTTTTAGCCTGCAGGGGCAAAGTGATGAAGACACCAAAATGCGTGAGTTTAATTTCACTGTCAAATGTACAGAAGAGGGGAAGAAATACTTGAATTTGTCTTAATCTTAGCTATTGGTAACTCCTGCTTAATTTTATTACCTTTTCTTCTTCCCCTCTTTTCATGCATGATTAAATGATTTTAAGACATTTCCATTCCTGTCTAGGTTCACTGATCCATGCTTACAGTTCATGGATTACAACTATCCTTAATGCAAGTCTGCAATCTCAGCCAGGATGTGAGGGACCACTAAGTATTTCTCTGGCTAGCATTTGGGTTGAGGAATGTCGTGGTCTTCTAAAGGATGATTAGTCAGTGTCTCTTTAGAAGATCCAGGTGTGCTGTTCTACAATTTAAAAAGCAGTATTAAAAAAAATAATCTCAGTGAAATAATGCTTTTCTGGGTAAATCACTCTAATGCTAAACTTTCCTATATGTAACAGGGGCTACCAAGAGATGTCCTTGAAATGTTTTTGTAGCTTACTATATGCTGAGTGCTCTGGAGTTGTAGTGTCTTGTCCCCTCTGACCAGGACAGTAGGTATTCATGCTTTCCCACCATCTTCACTGTTAACAGGGTTATTGTGGTAGAACCTGTCTTGTCAGGCAAAATAATTCTCTTGACAGAGAATCTTAAAATAATAACTTGGCTCAAAAACTGAAATAGTCCTTTGACAAAAAGGTAGGCTTGTAGTGCAGGAGTTACTTTCTGAATTTGAGGGCTTACTAAAGTAAGTCAGCTGCCTTATTCTCATTTCTGAAATGGCAATAATTTCAGTGTGATGTAAAGGTCTGAACCCGTTTGAAGGTACATGTGATAGTAAGAATGGACGGTGCAGAAATTTCTAATTCATTGCTCAGACACAAAGTCACTGATTCTTGAATTTCTGCACTTCATAGGGGTGTTGACACTTCTTTTGTCTCTAGGATTCTAGAGACTAATTGGATTCTAGACTATTTTAACACCTGCAGCTGAATAGTGGCTACTTTTCCTTTTACTCCTAGTGAGGCCTGAGGCATGTGTAAATGTAGACTAAAATAATGGGAGAATGTAGTTTTGTTAGTGCAACTGCCTAGAGAATGAAGTCTTCTAACTTCAGTAAGAGTGAGGAATGCAAAGAATATGGCTGAATCCTACACAAGGTACAAGGGAAGATTTTTTTTTTTAAGAGGTTTTAATCAATTTGGGGTAAAAATGGAAGTGTCAATAGAATTAAAGCATTGTCAGGTGCTAAAATCTGCAGTTTGTACCCATTCTGCTTGCTTCAAGTGCAAAAAGATGCTATATAGCCAGGCTTGATAACCCAGCCTTTGTTGGTACTAAATGTTGTGTGCATGAAGCTGGATGGATGAGTGTCTGAGGACATCTGAATAATAATTTCACTTAAATTTTGATGAGTGTCAAAGTAGTATCTTCTTAACAGGTAGTTACGGTCTTAAAAAATAGACTTAATTTTTTTATTAAAAAATGAATTAAAAATAATTCTCTCTAAATTCCATGTTAATTATTTTGAGGACTGCACTAATAGATTTTTTTTTTCCTCCAGGAATAAGCTTGTATTAGTGATACTATATGTTTCATTCACACATTGCAAACACCCCAATTTGCTGTATTTTAATACTGTAAATGATTAATTTTTTTCTTCCTGTGTAATAAGGCAGCTTGTATCAAACACGAGTTCTCTGTGATACCAAAACTCAGAAAATTAAAATTATTCTCAACACTATGCAGACATAAGAATGTTGTCAATCTTTATTATTTTTGATACAAGATGCTCAAGAAGTACCTTTATGGGAAAGGCAAAAAAAAAGTCTTAATAGTTCTGACAGTTTTTTTACTAAATGTCTTGGACCTTGTTTAATTTAAAAATTTGAAGAATTGAAATGAAAAATGAAGGATTCATTTGTGTATATGTCCTCATCATGGAAACATCTGTGCTAGGGCTGTGCACAAGAGGGGTGAGGTGTGCAGCATGCCATCTTTTCCCACTTGGAGTTGTGTATAGAGGAGGTGTTTGGGTACCTGGTTCAGGAAGCATCTGCAGCCTGAGCAGTACTTGGGTCTGTGAAGGAGCAGCCCAGACCAACTGTGCGAGGTAGGAGTATGGATTTCCCAGTTGGAGTATCTGTCAGGTGCAGGAGGTGGATGCTGAGCTTTATGGCTAGGGGGGAGTCATGTTGAACTTGAGTTTCCACAACAGAAATGCTCTGCCTTATGCTCCTTCATCTCTTGTGTTCCTAAGAATAACTTAATGAAAAAGTTTAACACTACTAGAAACTTTTCTCTACATAAAAAAAGTATGAATGGTGAACATAGGCTTTGTGGAGTGCGTTTTGTTTGGTATGTTTTTAACCAATATAAAGGCAAATGTTTTAAGTACAAACTAGGTGCTAGCACAATTCTGGGTTAGATGTACAGCAAGCTTTTTATTTTGTGGAAGGTATCTGACTACTGAGAATCTAACCTTATAGTCTTTTATTTTTGTTCAACTTTGAAGCTGGAGAAGTTCAGCTTTTTGTTATCAGTCAAATCTACAAATTTGCATCAGCTGATTCATTGTATTGTAGAAACTAACTTGTATCAAGATATGCAATTTAGTTATAAGTTAGCAGAGAAGCTAAAGGTGTCACAAGTAGCTTAAAAATACATAGTTTTCTAATGCTGTTTTTCCAGAAAAGCTATTATAGCTATGTAAAAGTCAACAAAGATAGATTGGATGTTAAAGTGACTGAATATTTGGCATTATTTGGAGGATATTTCTCAAAACCATTCTAATAGGTATAATTACAGTTACATTACTTCATATAAATCATGTTTGTCGGTTTTAATATCTCAATTTGCTTGCTGATACGTGAATCACTGTTGGCTTTCTGAGTTTCAGCTCATCATATAGAGTGATATTCCATCCTAGTGGAGGAGAATTACACTTTGGTGAATCTTCAAAACTATTCAGAGGCCTACATGATTCTAATGTAAGTAGTTCCTTGTGGGGATGGTTTAGGAATCAGTCTTTAATTAATATCTCATAACTACAAGTTACATGAGTTTTATTCTAAGCAAATGCTATTCCATGGAAAATATTTTTTTGAAGAATCAAAGAAATTTAGGGTATCTGTTCAGGC